AAAATCGGAACTAAAATCATGTCAAAAATATTCAATGACTGAAAGCGGGATAAAAAATGATTAAATTGCTAAAATGGCTATGAAAAATCGGGGTTGGTGATAAAGTGTTAATTTTATCTAATTTTCATTGTATGTATTTTGTAATGCCACATTATTTATAAAAATTTCGACAAAAAATTACAAAAAAAAAAAACATTAAGGATGAAATAACTCTTATCACTTAGGGGTATGAAAAATAAATAGTTACCGATTCTCAGACCCACTGAACACATATAAATTTGATAAAAAATGGTGAATCCGTTTGGATGGTGTACGGGAACGAACTTTGTGACACGAGAATTTTATATAAGATATATATGTATCACTTTTTGAAATGTCTTTAATTATAATTTCATTACAACGAGAATAAACAAACCATTGTCATAAGTAGTATTTATATGATATATGTAGAAGTGAATAATAATGAAAAAAATCTGTTTTCGCGAGCGAGAAGAAACTATATTTATATTCGTACCTACACGTAGACATTTGTATGAAATAAACGAATAAATTCTACGCTCGGGTTTATGTTTGGTTTGCTTTCAGCTACAATAATGAACAGAATTTTTATTTAAATTTTATGTTTATACTATAGAAATAATAATAACACTGTTCAGGCCACAAAGAAATTAACCGATGTGAGTAGTGAAGTTGCACTGACAAGGTTTGCAAACTTTTGATTCGGCTATTTTGATATAAAAGATGAATTTAAAGTATAATATTTTAATCATTGGTATTACAATGTTATATTTTTTAAGATATAAAAGATGAATTTAAAGTATAATATTTTAATTATTGGTATTACAATGTTATAATTTTTTAAAGATACAAGATGTTACAGAAGAGGCTAGGTACGGTTGTGCCAGGATACAGTAGTGACAGTCGTCATAACAGCTAAACTAAGGAGGCATTAAATCGAGCTAAGACTTTGCATAATTCAGCCAGCATGAAGTTGCCGGCGAAGACTGATATCAAGCTGTCAAGCATTTCAGATGTCAAGAGCGCGTCGGCCATTTTGTCATTTTTTATCAGTCGGCGTATTGTTTTTTTATTAAGTAGGCTTGTTTCATATTTAATATTTTTTAGCTTTTCGTTATGATTCATTCTTTTTGTGTTTATTTTTTTATGTCCGTTCAAGTTTATTCGCTTTGGCTTTTTGATTACGCGCCTATTTAGTTCTTATTTTAATTTTTACATTTTAGGGTTATGTTTAGGATTCTTTTCATTCAAATATCATTTTAGTCTAGCTTAGATTTTATACAATGTTTTAGTTATAATTTTGTTTAAAAAAATAATTTAGGCTTACGTTTTACGCATAGGGTTACATTTTATCCATTATTTTTGTTAGGGTTACGTTGTATACATTATTAGGTTTGGTTTCGATCTTACCTTAATTCAGTGGAAGCTAACTAAACTCAACAAACAACAAATAGAAGGTTCAGTAAATGAAATAAAATTGGAATCTTCTGATGTTATAATACTAAACAAAAATACTTCATACTGTCTTGGAATTGACAGATATATTTCGTTTTTTCTGCAATATTTGCTATGAGGGAACAAGATATATTGTATTTTAATAATATATTGTCTAAGATAAAGGCTATCATCTTGGTATTAGACAATATAATAATAATAATACTTGTTTGGCTGTGATAATAATGATCTTGACAGGTTTTAGCTGTCAAAGTTATGAATCCAATACATTTCAACTTGACGTCTAACTTCTATTTCGTCGCCAACTTCATGCTGGCTGGAATATGCAAATGTCAAAATTCTTAGCCTGATTTAAGGTGGTGTGCTAACTATACTGATTTTGAGATAGGGTCCAAAGGGAAAATATAAAGTATGTTTATTCGAACAAGTTTTTACCATTGTATTGAATCAGCGCCCTACATTAACACGATCTATAGACCGCATTTTTTTCAAGATTTTTTTTTAATGAAAGTGTCTTTGTATGAATATAGATCTAACTACGACAAAACGCGAAAGAGAAAGGAAGAAAAATTCAATATAAGAAAACAAAGGTTTCATAAAAATTTCTTAATTGAAAAAATATGTTTTTTTATATATTGTTATATTATATTCATGAGCTTTATTTGAATTATTATGTTATCTTGTGTTACATATTTCTGAGAATAAGTCGTTATAAACCATTTTGTTGTGCTTAGGCTAAGGACGGTTGTACCACTCGCTCTTTCTTGAATGATTTAAATTTATGATTAACCCATCGTACTTCGGTATTTCCAAAAGACAAATATCAAAATTAGCATTTTATTTGCTTTTCTCTCAGCTAACTGGCTAATTAACAAAATTATTACTGATAAAAGTGGCAGTACCACAGCCGCTCTTTCTGACTATATTTTGTTACATAAAGAATCATAAAAACTATTTTGATTTTCATTTACTTTTTTTTGAGAGTTCCTTCTCTCTAAAAAAATCATTTTGCTATAGATAAATGTATAGCAACTTTCTACTATTATACCATTTGTAAAGAATACTAAAGTTTATTTCGGATGTTATATGAGCTTTATAATTCACGTTGCCTTCATTCTATTTCCTGACAATTACGATTGTATAATATGAAAGTATTCATCAATAACGAAAACCATAATACCAAGCACATTTTGGAAGCGATATAATAAGAAACGCTATTTCTTCAAAAGTAACGCCTTTATTTTGCGTCGTTAGATTTCAGATACATATTTTTCAGAATTTCCCGTCCAATAAAATTTTATGGACTGTGCTATTTTCCGAGATCAAAGTAGTAAATTTAGTTCAATTCAAGCGTTTTCGATTAAACTTAATGGAGTTCATTGCATTGCATAAAAACTGCATATATTTTTGCTTTTTCATTGATATTTTGACTCGTCGAATTAACTATGATTTTAAAAAATGGTTAAAATTTAGTGTTAAATAATGTGATATAAGTAACGCATTTACACTTTACGAAGAATGCTTTTGTTTAGTGTTACAATTTAAATTTCAAATTTATTTATTAATATAACTTCATACACATTAGTTCCATGCCGGGTGAACAAAATTGATATCTAATATATTCCAATATTTATTGTTCGATGAATTGAGAAGTGATTAAAAAAATTTGAGTTGGCTCGTATCAATACATAATCAACAATAAAAAAATTAATTAAGTTTACCACAGTAACTTATTAACTAAAGGTTAATAAATTTCAAGTCGATTATCTACACATATCGGAACGGTTTTTCACTTGCCTTACGACAAATTGCCACTTAAATTATTGACTACAATATTGGTTCCATATCAATAAGCACACTCAAAAATAACAAGTCAACTTTACTCAAGTATTTGATGGTTCATTTTAATATAACCGTTAAAACTAATTAAGAGTTTTGTTAAAAAATATTACAAAATTAATCCTTTTGGATACAAGTGTGATTTCCGCAAGAGTTCACTGCTGTACTGAACAACAAGCAGACCAGTAGCGCTACTTAATAGACCAGACACAACAGCATGTTTCTACATTTTTCAATCAATAACAATAAAATTATATTTAAAAAATATAAAAAACAACTTTCAAAGAACTAAACATTTTGATAACAAATTATAATTCTTAATAATGTAACTATGAGTAACTAGTATTAACCCTTTCGCTACAAGTGTCGTCCATGGACGACATCCACTTGACTATCAGTGCGCACGAGTGTCGGCTATAGACGACATCCGTATAACGTGCTGTGTGTACAGGTGTTGTCCATGGACGACATTTTCAGTTAGTTTCAAATTTTCGAAACTTTTTATTTAAAATGATAGAAATATCTTATAATTAGAATATATCGTTATGCCTAGTTTGTTTAGTAACACTACTAACAATAAGAGACACGCTGTCCGTACAGCAAGGACACTCATGCGAAAAACACTATCGTCGCCAAAGAAAGGGTTGACACCCTGAATGTCGTCTATAGACGACACTAGTAGCGAAAGGGATAATAGAAAGTTAAAAACACAATTTCAGATAAAGCATTGGAATCTATCTGCATGTTTGATCCACTCGCAGTTTGAATTATAAATATAAGATTTCCTTTTAAAAGTCTTAAGTTTAAGTTTTAAGTTTTTGAGAACCTATTTATTAATTAACTTCCCGATGAGTCGAATTAAAACTTTTCGATCGAAAATTAAAATCTTTACATTTCATTACAACATTTTGGCATACCTTATAATTAGAAAAAATGAATGTATGCATGTGTTTTCAAGATACGGGTCAAAAAGTGCAAAACATAGCAATCATTTTTTGAGATCGAAGCGTCCGATTTGAATGATTCAATAATTGATTAAAAAAAATATCACTTGTATAACAAATGAAAAGTTGATTAAAATTTTGTAAAGGCAATACCAGTGGTTTCAGGGATCTAATAAAAAAAGTTAAGAAAAATGTCATTTTGAGTTTCAAAAATAATCAACAGGCATATGAAATAATATTAAATGAAAATATCATTTAGTTTTGTTGGTAAATATGTACCAAAATGTGTTGAGTCCGTACCAAGATTTATAATCTTTAACACCATTAGATTTTGACGTGGCGATTATGTGCTTCGCTATTTTGTGTCTTAACAGCTACTACGCAGCCCAATTGCTTTAAAAGTAATTCAAAATTTTCAAGAAATTTCAAAAACACTCAAAATCTGCTTATAAAACCTTATAGAAATTTTAAATTCTGGTCCGAAAAGTTCAGCAATTTGCCTTAAGATACAATGCCAAGCACCACTAGTGTGATATTCATTTACAAAATTATCAGTAATTTTCCTGGAGGAACATCGCCATTTGCCATAGTTTAGTTACATATACGAGCCGAGCGGAAAACACACTTGTAGCCAAAAGGATTAAATTTTATAACAAAACTCTTAATTAGTTTTAACGGTTATATTAGTATAACCCCAATACTTGAATAGACTTGGCTCGTATTATAAATTATGTATCAGCTTACCTCTGAGGCACTGCCGGCTTCTGAACATTTCTCCTTTCCGATGGAACGCTGCTGGTGGTGGATTCCGCATCGCTCATCAATGGGGCGTTTTCGAAGTTTTGCACTTTCCTCTCCAGGGGTGAGCCGTCGCTGAGCGTCGTGGGATTCTTGTATGTTAGATTTATCTGCACATAAGTTGGAGGCGGAACGGCGGGCGGTACGCCGCTCTGCTGCGCGTTCGACGGCGGCGGTGGCAGGTTCTGGTGGTAGACGATGGGCAAGTTCTCGGGCACCTAGGTGGAGATGAATAATAATCGATTCGTATTAAAAGGAATATTGTAAACACATTTTCCAGAAAAAAATCATATTAAATTATTGACAAATATAACATTATCTATCTAAAATTATCTAATGATTTCGAAATTAAGAGAAAGATGAATGGGGTGTAGTTATTTGATATATAATAACCAATTTTTAGATGAATTAATCTAATAAACAAATTAAAATTAGTGGGTGTATGGCATTGTCCCTTGAGACAAATTGCTGGCACTTCTCGTTCAATAATGAAATATTATAAGAATATTAAATATTTTCTAATATATTATTATAAATACTGTAACTTTCATTATTATAATTATACTGAATAATAGTAAGTCTGAAATGCGTAAATGCATTTACTTTGCGATATAACAGTTTAGCAATGAAATTGGTGGAACTTCCCGTATCGTCGTTGTTCAAAATTTTCAAAATCTTTAAAAATTTTAAATCTTTAAAACATTTATATTTAATTTGCAATTAAAAGGCTCTTTTGCGCTCGAATAATAAAAATAATGTTGGTTAAAGTTAGCTAATATTTATTGAATTATAGGATCCATTAAGTGAATTTTCTTTTCTCATGAATCACTTAGCCAAGGAAAAGAATATTTTTAACTTCCCTTAGGATAAGTTATAGTAGTACTCCGAAAATCGAAAATTTTTACATATCTTCAGGTTTCAGAGGTTTCTGTACATTTTGGCATACCTCAGAAAAAATGTGTGTGTCTGTGTGTGTGTTTTGTATGACCGCATTTTTTCGTCTACGTTTTCAGGCGCACGGATCAACCGATTTGAATGATTAAAAAAACATTCGATTCCTCTTGGTAGGGAGATGTGCTGATTAGTTTTTGGCAAAAGCAGGTCCAGCCGTTTCGGAGATACGGGGTAAAGAGTGCAGAAAATAGAAATCGAGTTTTTAGGAGAACGGAGCCTCCGATTTGAATGATTCACAAAACATTCAATTCGTAATGATGATGTTTGGATGTACGTAATATATGTATATGTATGTAATTAGGACGAATACTAATTTTTGTCCACGGTTTCGAGAGATCAACCAATTTGCATGATTCAAAAAGCATTCGATTCTTACTGATTAGTTTTTGGCAAAGGCAGGTTTAGCCATTTCAAAGATACGGGACAAAAAGTGCATAAATATGGAAATTCGGTTTTTGAGAGAACGGAGCGACCGATTTGAATGATTCAAAATACATTTTACTCACATTGACGAAATGAAGAATTAACCAATTTTTGGGAAGGCAGGTTCAGCGAGAATAAAGATCCACAAAAAAGTTATAAAAACAACACTGTGATAAAAAATTATCTTTGGACATACGCACATAAAATTACCACATACTTTATAAGAATATTAATAATAAGTGCAAATTTTGTTAACATTGCTTTGCAAATGCAGAAAACATAACTGAATGATTCAATTCACTTTCTGCTTGTGATGACAAAACAATTATTTTTGGAAAGACAAAATTGATTTTTTTTTATATTGATATCGAAAATAATTAAGATTTTAATTTTAATTCTGGCTGAAGTTCTAAAGCTCACTTATATACTTTAAATAAATAGTTTTAACTTTGTAATTCAGTTTATATAATTCTTATACAAATTAGACAATGTTACAGTACATATAATAATCTATTCGAAAACATTTAATATTTCTCGAACATTTCGTTACGTTACGGAAAGTTCCAACGATAAGTAAGGCACGATGCTATAAACCACTAGTTTTATCGATGCAGTCAGATAATAAGGCAATAATAATATGAATTAATATATCTTCAAAAATAATTTCTTTTAAGTCAAAGCCAAAGTGATTGGAATTAATCTAATATCCTCATTTGTAATGCAAAATTAAATTGAATGAAAAATAATTATTTTCAATGGGTTAATAAAAATATAAATACGTAAAAACGGAAAAAAGAAAAGTCAGAGTTAAAACTGAAATTTGTGAACTTAGAACGTAGGTCCAAAATATTATTACATGTGTGTCTAATAGGAAATGATGCAAAGATTTATTTATAAATGCAGAGTTCAAAATACACAGGAAACAGAATTGGCACAAGTACCATATCGCAGAATCATATTAATTTCATTTTATTGAAACGTCTGTATTTTATTGAAAACTTGTTCAATAGTATTGAGAAAATTATGATAGAATTAAATTAAATAATACCTGAGTGGAAGTTATATTGCATGCGTTTATGAAAAAAGAATTATAAAATAAAATCTACAATCTAGTATAGTAATCTCGACTATAAAAATGCATGATCAAAAAACTGATTGTGAGTTTTTATAAATTACCTAATTAAACGTTATATACTTACATTAGGATTGTTCTGTAGTACATTCGATGCAGCCCTCTGATAGTTCAGTGGACTTGGAGGAATAGTCGGGGCTGCTCTTGAGTACTGAGGAACATTATCCTGTTTTGGTATAGTCTTGTCATAATGAGGAGCAGGCGGCAAACCATTTTCCAGCCTCAGATCTCTTTCTACTTTAGCTGGAGCACGGAAAGTACTGTGAGCCGATGCATATTCTGCAGTCGGCGGATATTTGTTGTTATCTTCGGGAGAAGCATCCTTGAAAAACATTAGTCCTCGGTCGCTGTACTGGCTTAGATTTAACGACTCAGATTCAGTAATCGATTTGTCAAGTGTACTATTCAGAGGCAACGTTGAAGCGTTATTATAGTAGTCTGAGTGACCTGAAATGGATAGTTTATTTACTAACAAATAGATATTTTACAAGGTAGCAAATATATTATGTTATGTTCAGTATAATAACATTCTATAATGTAATTGATATAAATCATAGGTTGACATGAAAGACATTTCCTAATCGTTGTAAGTATGAAAATGCCTATGCACATGTATATGTATGTGTGCAGGTATGTACATGGGTATATTTATTTCTATTATCATATGTAAAAATAAAAATTGAATTACTGATACTCAACATCCCTAATATAGTTCCAAATTCCATTTTTGGATAAGATTTGTCTGGAGATTAGTTGAACCGCTGAATTGTAATTTACATTAAACATGCTTCGTAATCAATAAGTGATTCACATGGCTAACAAATAAAAAATAATACTTATAAGGCACTTCAATTTATTATCCGAAATCAAATCAGGAGATAAAAGGCAAAAACGAGAATACTCATTGTCCAAAAACGTATGTTTAATTTACGTGATTTTTTAATTTTTTCGGCGATAATACAATATAATACAATCTCCTCAAAATTTTATGGTAAGATCTAAAAACTAAGAGCTTAGCAGAAGTTTATATTCTACAAATATAAAATAATTACGATTTAAATCATCTGTGAAATTTGTAATACAAAATGGTCCAAAATCAGTTAACGCAGTTTAAAAATTGAAAAACAGTTGAATTTATCTCAATAATTGTATTAAGGTTTACAATCATTTTAAATAAAAAAAAATAAGAGTTGAGATGGTTTATATTATAATTTTCATAGTATCTTTTACTAAAAGACACACAAATACATGGAATTTCTTGGAATAATATTAGATTAAATAAAAATATTCATATACATATAATCTATTAGATTTTAAAACTTTTTAAATAAATGTGTTTTCCGCAAGAGTGACCCTGCTACGAGGCAGTAAACGGCCCAAATAATTGTCATATAAAATATCTCCAGATTTTTGAATTATTATATATACAAATATATTTAAAAAATAGTTGTAAGTATCATGTAGCTTGAAGGCAATAATTCCCGACCTATGAAAATAATCGACTTATTGAATAAGAATTACCATGAGTGAAAAGTTATTGCAGATTATTCAAATTATTTCAATTTTTTATTATGCGTTATTGAAAAACAAATACGTGTCTAATATATAGATTAATTGTGAGTATATTCTAAAAAATAATCCCAATTTCAATTACTTTTTATAAATGTATCACTTTTCGAAGAACTATAATATTTTAGTATATTTTCTAAAACCAGGTATTTTGTCGTCATACAAAGTTTCATTAAAATCGTCGAGAATATTTTTTAACGATCAATTACAAAGAAACGGCCTGTTCGATCTTTGTGCAAAACTAATCAGCACGATACGCAAATAATATCTTTCGAATAATTTTTAAAATTTTTAAAATTGGTTTATAGTTTTTAGCTAAAACACGTACAAAAAATTTTTGCACTTTTCTCACTTAGTGAAGAACACATACCTACATGCACACACATTTTTTTTAAAATCGTACTCATTCCATCCAAAATTACTTGAAACGTCGAGGAAACATAAAATTAGCGAATCATATTTTCTCGCAAAATCAAACATTTTCTGCAAGAAGGTAATTAAAAATTATACCTCTACAAAAACTAATTAGAGTTTTCAATAACAAATAACAAATTTTCTGAACTTCACAATAACAAATTAGAATTATCAATACCTTAACTCAGAGTGATAAAAATTGAAAAAAAAATTATCACAACTATTGATGAAGTAATAAAAGAAAGAAGCAAAAAATACCACAAAAAATTACCAGACCAACAACACAAATATTTAAAAGAATTAAGTGGGAATCTCATACTCGAAGATTGAAACAAAAATGACCATACGATCTTAAAGGTCAAAAAATAAAAAAATAAAATATATCTCACAGGAGATAAACACTTTAAATGCATTTACATCCAGCATATTGTCTTATAAAATTGTATTATTTTGATCGGCAATAAATCTATGAAAAAAAATGTCACAGCGAATGTCGTCTATAGACGACGCTCATAGCGAAAGGGTTAAAAATCTGCACGAAGTAGTACTAATTTTACACATTAGAAATCAATTGCAATATCAATCACAATCGTACCTGCATGATGCTCCATACTGTCATCGACCTCCGGTATTCCCAAGTTAGCGGCGAAGGGTCTCTGCTTGAGTCCCTTGCCAGCCCCGAAAGTCGAGCCGGCCGCGGCAGGATCCCGGAATCCTTCGTTGCGGTAAGCCAGTTCGTATCCAGGCGCGTTGTTGGCGTTAGGCAAGGAGCTGCCGCCGTTGGCATAATGATTGCCCAGTCGCGGCTTCTCGTAATCCTTGCCGCCCTCTCGAAACTCGTTCGCCCCGTAGAAACGTGGCTTTGAATCTACGAACGGATTCACGTTCTGCGAGTGTAAGCTAATAAAGAAGAATATAGATTTGTAATAAGTTAATGTTTATTGAGATCATAACTTCATGTGTCAAATATATTCGGTTATTCACAAAGTTTATCTTTACCGAGAAAAATAATTTGTTTTTAACTTCCCGTAGGGTAAGTTATTGTAATGGGCCGAAAATCGGAATTGAAAATTTTTACATTTCTCGACGTTTTGAAGGTTTCTGAACATTTTGGCATACTTCAGAAAAAATGGATGTGTGTGTGTGTGTGTGTAAGTATGTATATGGATACAAATTTTCGTCCACGTTTTCGGGCGTACGGATCAACCGATTTGAATGGTTCAAAAAACATTCGATTCCTATTGATAGAGAGATGTGCTGATTAGTTTTTCGCAAAGGCAGGTCCAGCCGTTACGGAGATAACGAGCAAAGAGTGCAGAAAATAGAAATCGTGTTTTTGAGAGAAGGAAGCATCCGATTTGAATGATCTAAAGAACATTTAATTAGTAATGATTGGTAAAAGAGGTTATTAGTTTTTGGCTAAGGTAAGCCCAGCCATCGCAGATACAGAGCTAAATATACAAAAAATGGCAGTTTTTGAGAGAAATAAGCATCCGAATGAATGATTCAAAAAACTTTCTGCTTGTGTTGACAAAACAATTGCTTTTGAAAAAAAAATTCAATTCTTTTTTTGTATATCGAAAATAATACAGATTTCAATTTTAATTCTAGCTAAAGTTTTAAAGCTCACTTATATACTTAAATAATTTTAACTTTGTAATTCAGTTCATATAATTCTAATAAATATCAAACGATGTTACAGTATTTTAATATTAAATGTTTTCAAATAGATTATTGGGAAAAGGGCAGACAAAAACTATGGGAGGAAATAATCAAACAAAAAATCTCCCTTCCAACTAATTTTATAACAGTGATGACAGATACAAGATTATACGGTGCTCTTTATACTTACATCAAATCTAATAATATAAAACTATAAATGAAATATACATAAAACAATGATATATACGTAAGACTAGACTTTAGAGATAGTGTAGATATCATGTAATTTAGTATATGGCTAATGTACTAGTTTATAAAGCCAATAATCATAAATAAAAAAAATAGATTATTCTATTTGGAAACATTTAATATTCCTGATGATACAGTATTTTTAATATTAATTGTTTTCAAATAGATTATTCTATTTGAAAACATTTAATACTCCTTAAACATTTTGTTACGGTACGGAAGTTCCAGCAATTTGCCTTAAGGCACGTTGCCATACACCACTAGTTATTTCTCATATGCACCAATTTTGTAAAATGTTATGACATTGAAAATAGCCTGCTATATTACTATTTTAATATAATATGCCAATATTTTATCTATAAAAAATCTAAGTCCTCATATAATTACGACTATCCTCATCTATAATAATATACGTAATGTAGAGAAGGGCGAGGCACAAAAGTCCAAATTTGACTTTAAGAAATTATATTGTGAAAAACAAACCGATTATATCACAGAAAAATAACACATATCAAACGTACAATATCTGACTATGTTCAAAAAACTCCCAGTGAATTCATCAATATTCAAAAAATATTATCTGGTCTTCTTTACCCCATGGGCGTGGCAAACAGGTTCTGTTCTTATTTTTAATTTCAAAACGGATTTTATGATATAAAAGCTACATCATTTACCAAATGCAAACTAAAATTTTATGGCTACATTTTTACAGAGATAACAGTATATAACCTTGATTTGGTATTTCGTCATGAATATCATCAGCAAAGTTGGAATAACTATTTATTTTATTTATCTCTTGTAAGTTATTTTTAACTTAATTATTTTTTCATTCACTACTTTTTATTGTTTACATCTTTGCCAGGTTAGACGTTTAGTTGACCTTTTTGACCTTAACCACGCTTTTATTGAAGTTATATAAAAAATCTGTTGAATCTAACTTAAAATTGAACTTACATCTCATAAACAATTAAATAACAACTTATACTTAAAAATTATATCAAGGCTTCGTAAACTAAACATTGTCCTCACAACCCAAAAAACTAACAACGAAGGTAAACACTTTTAATATGGTTTTTCAAACATTGACGTTTATCTCTCCGACAGCATAATTGTAAAAATTATGGCTGGTTATACACCTTTTTACTCTACTTACTTTGAAATTTGTTGTTAAAAAATTCTTGAGATATCGGTATCTTTTTATCCGCTTTACCCTGTATTAAAAATGTTTCAAATGTTACCCTATATTGAAAATGAAATTTAGATAAGTTAGTTAAAACGACTTGACTTATAAATAGTGCTTTTTGGGTGATAAGAATATTTTAATTGTTATTATTTTAATGCATAAAGAGAAGATACATAATCTGACTGCAAAATTATGATGCAAACCATATGCGCGCGCTGCAACTGCAACTCGTTGAACAGATTCACCTCGCTCTAATCTTTTCAAATTAGGTCAATTTATTTTTAACCAGCGGGATATGGGCATTTAAGGCAATTATGATGATATCTCCGTTTTATAGAAAAATTCTAGAAAAATAAATTTTTCTGTGAAATGAAAAAATAATATTTTGTTAAGTTTTAATTTGTTTGAATTTTTTGTTTTATTATGAAAATCTTATTTTTTTTCCTTTTCAATAAAGATTTACTAACAGAAGTAAGTTGACCCTGACTGCAAAATAAAACAGAATTTTATATCACTGCATAAAGATCAAGTACGAGCGTCACAATTAAAATAGTTTGCCGTAATTTTTAATTTTATACGTGAGCAAAATTTCATATCAAGATTGGCTTTTAAATTAAACCAAGTCATCGAGTTTGAAAGTTTTACTAAAATTTGTTGAAATTATTATATGAAAGGATTTATAGTAGGAGGTTAACACACACTTCTCTAAGCATGATATGCAAAATGATTAAAAAATTCTGAAATGTTAATTATATAAAAAAAACATTTTTAATATTTTTCGTTTTCAATAATTTAGCCTACAGAAAGTAAATGAAGTGAATTTCTATCCATCGCGAATTAAGTTTTAGAAATAATCCTCTCCTTCATTGATCGAATCTCTATGATTTGTTGGTAAATATTATAAATATCTAGGGGACGTCCATTAATCACGTAGAT